GAGCAGCAGTCTCTCCAGGGCAGCAGGCTCTCCTCTCTCTCTTCCATGCAGCAGCTGTAGCTGGATCTCTGCCAGTACACACGAGGGGGGTATCCAAGCCTTCTCAGCCACTTGTCTTCAAGCAAGGGCCTTCTCTTCCGTGGGCTGCGTTTCCCAGGTCAAAGGTCACTTCACCACGGTCATATCAACGAAGTGCAGAAGCCTTTGTGACGGTCCTTATCTTCAGGGGGTTCAAGTCCCCTTTGCAGAGCTCCGTGCTCTGTCTCAAAGCAGCAGGGAGGGCAAAAGCCTTCCTCTGCATTCCTTTGGCCATCCCGGTCCAGATTTCCAGGACGCCTGAGCTTCTCAGCTCCTCTCTGCAGTGCTGCTGCATCTCACCCCTCCTTTCTAGGAGGGGTCTCCAAGGAGTTTGGGGGTTTTGGTTCAGTTCTTACCCCAAACTCTGTCTCTGTAGAGCTTAGTTCTGCTCTCTCTGCTGCTGGCTCTCGTCTCTCAGACAACTCTGTGTCTCTCTTGCTCGGCTGCATGCTCGTTTGCTGCTTCTTCAGTTCTTATCTCTTGGCTCTCTGCCACTTTCTCTGGCCAGTGTTGTTTTTACTACCACTTCTGCTGCTCACGGTGGAGAAAAAACTTCCAGCCTCTCAGCCACAGGTACTCAGCCCAGTTTTACACTGTTCCAAGTCCCTGCAGCCCCCAACCGGGGTTGGGGGGGCCAGAGGCCTCCAGGGGGGCTCCTGCCCTTTCTCCTCGTGGCTCTACAACATGGCTACTTCTTCTACTACCAGTACAACTACCTTTCTTCTCTTCTGGTCTGCTTGTGATATGTTTATATTTTGCAGAAGCGCTCATTGGCTCAAACTTTAAGGGTCACCACCTCCTGGGGATTTACCATTTTATAACTTCAGGGGGAAAACTGTTTTCGCCCACCACATCTATTTACAGAATTGAGGTGCTGGGTTCCTGTATGTCAGGTGAGCATCTAAAGGTAGAGAGTAAGTAGAAAAGATTTTCTGACATCAATAGAAAAAAAAGTAGTCCTTAGACTGTTTGTCGTAGAATTTTAACTTAACTAGTTATTCTTCAAATTTTAAAAAAACATAGATAAAAATTAATTGTATGTTATCACCCCAGTAACTCTTATTTTGATTACCAAAACACCAAATACTTGGACAGCAGGAGTGATGTCACTGTTTTACCTAATTGAAAAGACACAGTTCTTAAAATGCCTGATTAATTCTATAGGCAGTCAAATTTCTGCTTTGATGTCCACAGCAGTCTGTATTTCAGCAAGGTGAAGGTAGATATGTTCCAGCTCAGCCTCTTTGGGATTCTTGCATGAGTCATCTCTGCTTTCCTTAGTCAATTCCTTTCTTCTTCCTCAGAGTAGGTCCAGCATATCAATAAATAAATGAGTTTCTCAGAAACAGCTAGCTAAGTGATTTCTTTGAAATGAGTAATTGGAAGAAGAGGATGTAGTGGGAATGCTCTTCAAGACATGGCTGTTTACTCCTTCAGGAAGTGGAAAAATTGGGGTTTATGGCAGCCTAACCAGCTAGACTCACAGGAGTGAAGAAAATTCATGGTGGAAAGGGACCTCTGGAGGTCATCTTGTCCAACTCCTGCTCAGGTAGGGTAATATAGAATCATTTTCCCAGCATTGTGTCCAGATGGGCCAGCTGTAATTAATACCACACACCCAGGGGAGCTGCTTAACATGTCTGGGTTCTGGTTGGCATCCAGCTTCTGCACATAATAGTCTTGAACCTCTACACAGCGCCAGATGTCCCCCTCAAAAAACCCTATTATTTTCACTTGCTTTCTAATTTAGATGGTCAGCAGAAGCTGGTCTCATCACCCCCACTCCAACAGCTTTGGCTCTGTCCATGTCCAAAGCCAGTTAGCTGTTGTTATCTAAAAATTACACAAATATAAATTAAATTTGTTTGAGTTGCCTTATTTCCTTTCTGTGCATATCTAAGCCCTCAGAGGCAGGGCAGAAGTAGTCCAGGGGTTTTGGATTCTCTGTTCTTGGTTATCTCAGCAAATAAAAGAATCATCTAGTGAGTTGCTAATCTAAAGCTGAGCAGATGAAAACTACATCTCACTTATCTGAGTGGTGCTTTCAGATGGGTTTTACTCCAAAATAACAACTGAAAAAGATAGAAATTCACTGGAAAACTATCCTTTTTTCAGCTGGGTGTTGCTGTGAATGACCTTCCTCATGTAAAAATATTTAAAATTCAGATTTTGCAGATATTAAGTGGCAAGCATCCCTAAGGAAAGAAAACTGAGTCATTTTCAACAGCAATGTACTTAATGACGGTATCTTTTCAGCAATAAATTCTGGGGGTTTATGGCTTTAGGGGTTGGTAAATTTTTCACATTACACATAATATCATACACCATTACAACATACTCATCTGTATTTAGAATTTCATGTTTATCCAGGCTTTTGTTAATATATTATCTTGTGAACATCAGCTGAGTTGACTGATCAACTCTACAAGAAAACTAATTAATTTCTATCACCTTACAATTGTGTAACAAAATTAAGTTCATATTTGAGTAATAAAGAAGTATCTATACTTTACTGTTAAGTAATATTGAATTTTATTCAAAAAAACAGTTTCAAGGGCTGAGGAGTGGGAAAAACTGAATCGGGGAAGCTGATAGTACCAAGAATTCAAGTGATTCCTTTCAGTCAGCTTTTCCAGTTTAAAGCATATTTTCTAAGTTTTCACATTTTTAACCTCTTAATTATAGACAAACTTTGTCATCACAATACAGTTGCAGGATTTTTTTTAATTATTCAGTTTCAATAGAATTAAACAACATTTTTATGTATAACATGTATAATATGAACATGATAAAAATAAGTATTTGGTTTTAGGTCCTTTCAGAGAAAGGTAGGAGATAAGGAATTATTCCTTTCTCATTGAGTAAGCTTTGTTTTGCAGCTCGCAGTTGTTTTGTCCTAGCAGAACAGTTTGGGTCAGAAAGAACCTTCAAAGATCATCTAGTCCAACCCTTCTGCCATGGGCGGGGACATCTTTTGTTACATCAGGTTGCTCAAAGGCCTGTCCAACCCCATCTTGAATGTTTTCAGGGATGAGGCATCCACAACAGCTCTGGGAAGGCTGTTCCCAGTGTCTCATCATCCTTATCATAAAAAATTTCTTCTTTATGTTTAGTATAAATTTACCTTCTTAGTTTAAAACCGTTGCTCCTTGTCCTTTCAGACCTTTTACCTGCCCTGGTAAAAAATCTCCAGTTTTCTTGTAAGTCCCTTTTATGTATTGAAAGGCCATAATAAAGTCTCTCCGGAGTCTTGTCTTCTCCACACTGAGCAACCCCAGCTTTCACAGCTTACCTTCATAGGAGAGTCATCTAAGCCCTCTGATCATCTTCATGGCCCTCCTCTGGGCATGTTCCAACAGGTCCATGTCTTTACAGTGCTGAGGACCCCAGACCTTGACACAGTACTCCAGAATCTCATGGGAGCAGAGTAGAGGGGTAGAATCACCTCCCTTGCCCTGCTGACCACTCTTCTTTTACGTAGACCATTATACAACTGGCTTTCTGGGCTGCAAGCAGACAGGGCCATCTCATTTCCACTATTTTGTCTACTGCTATCTCGACGTCCTTCTTCAGAAAGCTGCTCATAATAAATTCACCACCAATTCATTGTCTGCATTGATATCGCGCATTGCCTTGACCCAGGTTGTAGGACCTCAAGCATATCACATCTTAATAGTGTATTCCTTAAGGAAACTAGTGATTCTCCATTTGTTTCTATCTTTATCCTGCTTCTATCTTTTTATCCTGAAAGAACATTGGGAATTTATCACAGTTCCAGATGTAGACCTCTCATAAAAGCAACTGACCTTTAATTCACTCTGTTTGATTTCTCTCAGGATGTAATTCTTAATACATGTCATTAAAAAAGACAGTAAAATACAAATACTATTTAATTAAATACTTGAGCATATCAGTCATTTAAGAAAGAACTGAGATCAGTGTCTTCAAAACCTTTAAAATTAAATCTAGTTATGTAAATAAGCACCTAGGCTAAGAATTTCAATTGGCAACTGAGTTCCTAAATGCCAATAGGTGTAAATCACCTTAATTCAGAATATATATTTTTTAATCAAGATAACTTTGAATGTTATGGAGCACTTTTTATTGTCTGCATTGTCATTTGTGTTAGGAATCAAAACACTTTTAAAGAGAAACCTCTTAACATAAACTATTCTTCTTCATTACCAAATGTCAGTAGTCACACTACATTACTTTTTTGTTCTCCAGATTAAACTATCTGGCAAAACAAGGAAGTTTCACATAAGAAATATGTATTTGTCAGGTTGCTATAGAAAGTGTTTTCTGTATTACGTATAGCAATCCGAGCCTTTTTTAATGTTGTGCAGATATCTTTGAAAAACTAGCTAAGGATTAATAAACTGCACTTAACAAAATTTTGTACGTTGAAGTCAGTTGGAATTTGATGGATGAGGGCTTTTAATCTGAAGTAATAGTAAACAGAAATGTTAATGAAACAGATTTTTTTCTGTATGGTGCTGTAATACATGTCAGGCTTGCAAATTGAAATCCAATTCCCTATCCAGAAACACAGCTCAAGTCAAAAAGGATGTGATTAACAGCTGGATGAGAAACCCCTCATTTCCTTTCTTACTGCAAAATGTATCTGTGCTTTTTTCAGCTGTGAAGTCGCAGCTGTCCCCAGAGCTGGGGTGTGGGTAACTCAACTGTATGACTCAGTCTCCCCCTTCATTCGGTCCTGTAGCACTGAGCACACAGGGGCACTTTCTACCCTAATTTGTCTTCTGTATTGGCAGGTTTCTTATGTAATAAACTGTCCCCAGGCACTCTGTGGTTTGGTTGTTTTGTTGGTTTTTTTTACTCTTCTCTTTTTCTGTCCTTCATGTTTTCACAGAGTAATCCCAAGTTCTTAGTTCCTTTTCTTTCTTGTTTGGCTTTGGCAGGTGAGAAGCCAGGGGCGGAGCAAGATGAAGTTAAGCTGCAGAATGCCAGCAAGCAGATTGTGCAGACTGCTATCCTCCGAGCAGTGCAGCAAGTTTCCCAGGAGAGCCAACAAAAGGAGAAGCGAACAAACAGTACAAGCCTCCAGCTAGAAAGAGGAAAACTAACCAAGAAGCATGAAAAGAAGTAAGGGAACAGATTGGTTTTTTCAGTCCTCCAGTCTGCAGAGTTTTCAGCCTTCTTTTTAGTATCAACTGTATTGCCAGTGCAATGCTACTGTTGTAAAGCAAACCAAAGTATTATCACACCTAGACATAGGGTAAAACTGCAATAGTCCTCAGCTGAGAAATATTAAGTGCATTAGATGAATAACTCCATATTTATGCAGTGCCTCTTAACAGAAACAATAACCATAGCTATAAAAGTAGTTTCAAGCACAAACTCTTATGATATGAACTTATTCTCCAAAGCTTGCTGTCAGAGCACTTTCATGTTAAGTTCTGAGTGCAACATTTATGTCAGTTCAGCTGGACGGACTCTTCTTTGAGCGAATGGGTTCACTGAAGTTGTCTTTACCGAAGAAATAGTTTACTGTCAAGTATAGCAGAATGATTTCAGTCTCCCTTGAAGCACGGGTTTGTACTTTGCTTTGATTAGACATGAGCTATGTGAAATGGAGTATAAAGTGGATTTGGCAAGTTCTGTGAACCAATTTCTTTTTTCATCTTGGAAAAAAAAAGAGCAATCCAGTAAGACTGCAGTAACTGTGATCTATTACTGTGATCATATACCTATGATCTCTGTCTTTTTTTAAGAAAGTTAAAATAAGTACTGAAGTTTTAGTCTACTGATTTGAAATACTTCTATACTTCTGCATAAAAATCACTTGTGCCTCAACTATTCTATTTAATTTTCTTGATATTGAAAGAAGATAAACTGATGCAATGATAAGGAGTTCACCAATATATTCTTCAGTTTTGCAGCTTTTCTGGGGCTTGATTTACAAGACTGGAGTGTCTTAAAAAAGGGGTTGAATTTATTAATATCTTGAAGGATGAAAATATACTGTGTCTGAATACTGTCACGGTAGATATTTCTCACCTGCTGTGCTTAAAGTGACTTTATATATTTGCAATTGTAAGGTAGATTCACCTTAAATAGCACTGCATTAAGCTGGTAATACAGAGCTTACCCTTTAAGTGCTCTATATAGCTGAAGAAATCCATGATGTTTCAGAAAATACAAATTAAATAAATGTTCCCTTCACTTTTATGCTCCCTTTCTGTAATGATGATTGTGCTATTATACGTCTGAAATTAATAACTGTGTGTTTAATTCTAGAAATGGGTTGTAACTCTGCTTCAACTGAATTCCTGTAGTAATGCACCTAGAAATATAGAGAAGCAGATGTTCTGCAAAACTGTGAATTGCTTTTCTACTCATCTAGGTGGTTCTCAGGGTGGTTGTGGGTTAAACAATTGGCTATTACTTACTGTGTCCTGTTGCCTGTGTTAAACAATTTTGGATTCATCATGGCCAGAGGCTTAGCCATTAATAGCCACATACTGTAATATTAAGTTTTTAAATTTGCTTGGTTTGTTTCTTTTTTTTTTTTTAACTTAACAGCACCGACTCATACAAGATAATAATCTAGCTCAATCTTCTTTCACTTAAAAATTAAAACAAGAATTCATTATGATTAAAATTGTTTCAAATCAGCTAATGATGAAAACTGACTCAGATTCCAAGTACACAGATGGTTCAGTTCTGTAAACACTGGGTGAATGTTTTTAGCCAAGCAAACTTTGAAAGGTGAAAGTGATTGGGTCTTGAGGCATGTGTTTTGTTTTAATAGTAGTTGTTTTACCATTAGATTTTTTGTCAGTTCACCTTTGGTTGGGAGGTAACTCTTTTCTAAGCACTCTTTGCATCTTTGCTTTCTGAGAGCCTAAGAAAACTGATCATGACTAAAGGTTCAATTCTGAAACTGATGAGCAGGCAAGTCCAGTGGATGAGAGAGAGCAAACCTTTTGGAGAGACTCTGTGGTGCAAAACAGTGTTTGCCACGGACTCACCTACAATGCTGCAGGAAGGAGAGATATCAAACATATCAATTTCTTTGAAATTATTCTACTCCTTTAATGTTTTTTGTCACTATAAATTTGAAATGTGTTTGTGTTGGGGTTTTTTTTGTATTCCTGGTAATTATGTTAATAATCTTCATATAATTTTAAAACTTGTTTGAATGTCATGGTTTTTTTAATTAATTTTTAATTTTAGAGAAAGAATAATTTCAAAAGCCAGTGATTCCAGGCTTTTGCCACTGCTTTAGATGACCCTATTCCACTCCTGGTCCCACTCCTCCCACTATACTGTTATACAATATCTCTTTACTGTCCTAGTCCTTTCAGACACACTATTACTCAACCATTTAGCACTCATGTCCACCACTGTCAGAATACCGATGCCATCAGAAGTCTAATATCTTGGAAAACTAAAAATGGTAGGAAGCCTAGCAAAGCCTTGAGGAAGTTTTCTATAGTCTCCTATTGAGGACAAACAAATACTGTATCTTAAATAGTGTAGTTTTCCCTGAGAGCCAAATGATGTGTCTCCAATCTAGAGTATACATCCCTAAGTTAGAGCATGCATTTAGTATTTCCTGTTGATAACAGATGTTCTGCACACCACTTACATCCAGGATATGCAACTGAGGTTTGTACCACGTGAGAAAACTACACAAAAGTAAACTTTACCCTTGGTTCATTATATGCTTACTACATGATGAAAGCGGATATTTTTTGGTATTTTCTTCACTGACAGATTATATTTTATGGAGAAAATACAGACTTTACAAATTATTACAGATGTGATGTAGGTCTTTCTACAAATAAAAAAGAAATCCTAAAGAAACTCTTAGTACCTTATATGTCTCTGGTTTTTCCTGTCAGAAGAGGGGAAGCAGTTTTCAGATTCACTAGACAATCTCATGAAGCAAACTGTGCTCATGAGATTTGTAGTAATGAATGCATTATTCAGCACAATAATTCATATCTTAGAAGTACAAGACAATCAAAATGGTATCATAGGTGTTTAAAACAAACTCACCACATTTTAGCACTTACAGTGGTAAGTAGAGGGTTGTACAACTATGTGAAATTGTATTTATCTCAACTCCAAAAGAACAGAAGAGTCATGTGTCTGTGGCAATCTTACACTACACCTGCTATGTTTTCAGTCAGTTTGATTATCCGCATTTTATTACCATACTTGTGCTATTCTTTGTAAGGGTAATCAAGCAGCAGTGCTTAAATGGAAATTTGCGTGGCCACAGCAGAATGTTGTAAGAGATTACCAAATGCCAATGTACATCAAGTTTTTGGTTCTGTGTGGTTACATTGGAAATTACTTGCTCTAAAATAAATAAAACCAACAACTGTGACTTGGAAACAGCCATATTAATTTTATCATTTCAGAAAAATAAAAGCATTTTGTGATAATATTATATTTAAGAGTTGAAAATTCTTGAATATTTATTCAATAGCAAACAACCGCCTAAAAATATTACTGTCTCTACTCATGTTGTGTCTGATTATTTTGGTTTTTGTTGACATTTTTTAAATGTCTCAGAATGTAGTATGTCTACAATGGTAAGTAAAATTGCTAGGTAACTATTCTCAATATTACTACCATGAAATGCGCTGCAGTTTTTCTTTAAATGAGTGTTAATATCAAATGCAGGGATTAATGTGTCATTACTGAAGGCTTTTCTGAAAACAATTTAATTTCAATTAGGGAGAAAGATAAGAGAAAGTACAATAAATTCCTGAAAGTATGTGGGATTCACCCTAAGTCTCTTGGTTATCCACTCAGGTCTGAAAAGAAATTAAATTAATGAAAACCTGACTCTTGACATAACCTGATTTCTCTCAATGGATTTCTGCAACACAGGGATCAGGTTGTTAAAGAGTTTCTGGGAGTGAGGAGAAAACTTGAGTTGTTGGTAAATATCTTCTTTACTTAACACTCAGTAAGGAGTGAGTAGTAGTACTGATGGAGCCTAGTTTCTAATGGATGGGGTTTCTCATCATAGGCTTTTGGAGCCTTCTGCTCTGGTAGAATCTTTTTTGCTATTTTAGGTTTTCCAGAACAAAGGGGGTATCTGAGGCCTAATAGGTTTTTAATTTGTGTGTATACTGCTGTGTCAAAACCAGTAGAAATAAGGTCTCTATTCTCTGCTTCCAGAGCTTTATTCACAAAACGTTGTGGACACACATGGGATTTTATTTTTAAAGACCACTGAATCTTCCCTGGATTTAGTCAACTTACCCAGCAATTCTTTAATCCTTAAGACTGAATGCATGATCACACATACTTGCATACTAGTGTTTGAGTGCTCCAGGGAACACCAAGAAATAGATACATATTTTAAATCTATTTGCTTCTAAGCTGTTCTTGTCTGCCAAGCAGATTTTTTTTTTTAATTAACATAATCAGCTTTTCTTTTCTAATAACTTTTCCTCCAGTGACTTGCTACTTGGATTTTATTATATGAGCTTGCTAGTTTTAACACTAAAACAACAATAGTTTGTGTTTAGTTTGGGTTTGATTAGAACCTCTGTGGTGTTACACGTTACATTGTGGTATGGCTTTTGTCTTTCCTTTTACTAAAGGTGAGTAACAACAATAAATGATGTTCTAAAGAGAAGGAAGTTTGGGGGGGGGGGGAAGTGCTGTAGTTGTGGTGGGGGTTTTGTGAGGTTTTTTTCCCTCAGCTGCCTCTAGCAGAATGCCAGAGGCCATGTGGGCAAATCGTCATGAATCATTCACACATGCTGTGACAGTAGCTCAGCGTAGAACTTGTACAGAAAGAGAGACAATTAACTCTTATGAAAGATGGAAACTGAACCCAGCTATTCAAAGCTGAACTGAGCTGATTCTAAAATGTTAGAGTAAGGCACTCCTGGTAGCTTTACGGAAAATATTCCATGAGTGCTTTGAGAGTTGAACCCCATTTAGAAATACCAGCTAGTGAAGACTGTAATTGCTTGCTTTGTTATATGAGGTGGAAAATGAGCACTACTGTATTGTTCTGAAGACTTAAGTGCTACCTCCTTGTGTCTATGGAAAACTTTGAATTGTGTCTTTTGGCAAGGTGACACATTTGCTCCTGCCCTATGGAGCAAAGAGCTACTCTTCTGTTTGCACGTGCATCTCAGAAGGTTTAGACCAGTTGCTATAGTAGCTGCCCTTGCCCTGTAATTGCTTAGTAAACATAGCTCCTACTAATGCTGTTCCCCCTCATTTCTTTCCCATGAAGCAGCTCATTCTAAAAATCCTCAGCTACAAGATGAAATATGAAAGCCGTCTGCTTCCTAATGGGGAGAGTGAATATAATAAATCTTCTTTGCCTCATTGGTGGGATATTGACCCTTTCCCACAGAAGTAGTTATTTCCAAGGAGGACAACACTGTTAGCCAGTGCTTGCCTGCTATCTCTTGCTGAGGGATTACCCATAAAGCAGTGATCTTCAATATTGCCTTCCAAGGGAAAACCTACTCCTGGGACACAGTTTGTCCTGACTTGTCACAGATTTTAGCTCCAGCTGACTTCTGCTGACTACATACTTGGTTTGTATTTTACGCACTATAGTAGAACAGCAGACTTTCAGGTCCAATATGTACATTACTGAGTATCTTTGTACTCCACTTGATGAAGAAGTTTATATGTATGCAGTCCAGTAACGTTAAGTAAAACTTTTTATCAGATCTTGTATTTCCTCCCATCATATTTCCCAGAACTGTAGATACTTTTCTACAACCACTTTGTTTTACTGAGCATTAAACTTGCTAAATCTATAGCCAGGAACAAGGAATCTTGTTGTCCTCCTCTATTTAGGTCACTGAAACCTGCAGGGAGTGACAGAGTGTTGCTGTTTGGGAAAATGACACTCTCAGTGCTGCTTTTGTGGCTCCTCTCTTGACCTTGTGTTTCTTTATTTTCATATATTCTTGTATTCACTTCCCGACAGGATGTCCACAAAACAGATATCTGAGATACCAGAGGTGCAAAGGCACAGTGTGTCCTTATATCATCCTCAGGTTTATAGCTTTTCATATTCAAAAAACGATTGGATGTGGCACTTAATGCCATGGTCTAGTTGATAAGGTGGTGATCAGTCAAAGCTTGGACTTGATGATCTCAGAAGTCTTTTCCAACCCAAATGATTCTGTGAAACCAGCCCCATGGCATGCTTCCTTTTGGTAACTAGCTGAAAGAACACAAGGCTTGAAATCTCTATTTTTCCTCAACATTTGAGACATTCAGATGCCATGAAGTCAAGAGCTTCTTTGAGTTCAGGAGATACACAAACTCTTCCTTCTCTTTGCTAAATGTGTCTTCAAAGATCAGTCCTGAGTCAGGTGACAGCTTGCTCATCACTGTGCTCAGAGGAGCTGGGTGGATAAGAAAGCAGCATGTCTCAAGCCAGGCTCTGAGGAATAGAACTTTGCAGAAGGCACTAGGATTTTACCTGATCAGAAATATTCCTCCTTATGCGAGATTGTGTTGGTGTTTTGTTTATTTAATAATTAAAAAAAAAAAAATACCTAGAGTGCCCATGTTTACTACCGAGGAGGAAAGCAAACCCAGCACTCTAGGAAACAAGCTGAAAATTCAGGACCCCTCTTCCGGAGACCTTACCTAGAATAAACAATATTTTCAAGGCCAAAGTAGCACATCTGCTTCAGTAACTTGACTTGTGCCTTGAGCTTTTTCTCCTCTTCCTTATAATGCAAGGAAATCTTGGAGTCTGCAAAGTGAAGTTAACTCTCACTCTTTGGGTTTTCTTTAAAGGTTTTTCTGTGCCTTTTTTTTTACTTTCTACAATTAACCTATACTGGTTTTTTTCAAGGTCACTTTTTCCCTTGTTCTGAAAACTACTTAAAAAAAATAACTGTTTTATTCTCTGTGTTCCCGTACATCTGAAGCAACATGTTTTTTCTTGACTAAGCTAAATCCCCCTGTTTTTATTGCACCTTTTTTTCTTTAATGTTGTTCCCTGTACCTGCATTGTGCGTAGGATTGTAGAAACTACTGCCACATTAGAATTCTGAAGCTGCAAAAACTGCCGTTCATGATATATACTAAAACCTTACTTCCTTGAAAAATCACTTACTCTTGGAAATCAGATTATATAACTCCATCTGCCCTGGTAAGAATTAGGTTAACATCTATTTTCACTACTGGCTGGCTAGAAGGCTTTTTCTTTCTTCCTTTCTTTTTTTTTCCCTTTCAAATATCTACATCTCAGGCTATTGGCTTGATTATTTGTAAAGTTAAACATCCAACTAGAGAGCACAGCGAGACACTGAGAATTAAGATCCTAGCTGAGGTAAGGGGACTGCACACAAAGCTGATGACATATAAGTCCAGGATCTGCGTGACCTGCGATTTTGAGGTACAATAATAAACAGCCAACAGCAGATTATGATGTCCAGATACTAGCAGCTTTCAGAGTGCAGATGGTGATGCTGTCAGAAAATATCAGCCTTCGTTCTCTAAATGTCTGTCACATTTCATTAGGGCACACAGATGACTCTATTTCCTCCACTGCTGAGGCTCGACAGCAGATAACAAATGAGTTTTGCTGGTAATGACCCTGTTCCTTATTATTATGTAATCCCTTCAGTTCACCCAAGCATCCATATCTATGGAAGCAAAAAAATGCTTCCACATAGGAATTTTCATGTTGGTGGCAAAAAATGTGTCATTGCTCAGGGAGATGCCAAACGCTTTGCAAAAGGGCAAAGAAACCCAATTTCCTCTCAGTATGCCTCTCTAGAGGAACAATCCATCAGCCTGAGGCTTCAGTATATGTTTGCAGAAACCTAAAGGAGACAGATAACTCCTCTTTGTTTTGTGACTGTCACTTCAGCTATTAGCAAGCACTAAGTTTCTCCTGCTATGATTTTGCCTCCACCTTGGACTAAGACTCCAACAGTGCAGATACATCGAGAGCAACAGTATAAAGGGTATAAAGGTATAAAGGTATAAAGGGCTGTGATGAAGCCACGGTTTTGCCATAGCAGCACAAGAACACAGCTAAAAGATCTACTCCCTCTCCAGTCTTTCTGGCATGCAGCAATGGAGCAACAGCTTAAGCAATGGGGTTGAGGGACCTTGGCCCCTTATGTTATATGGCCGTCCTTATCAAAATATAGGAGGACATCACCAGACCAGAAGGAATGGAGAAAGGTACAGGAAAAAAGGCCATAAATGGACACTGAAGACCCTTGAAAACATCAGTCCAAACTCTGAGAGGACACTTGATCTACAGGGCTGCTCTGAGGAAGCAATTTTCCTACAGATTTTTCCTAAAAATATTTATGCCTTTATAACAGAAACTGTGGTATGTTTTGGGTGAGATGAAGCAGCAGCCTCTTTTGAGA